ATATATTTTCGAATGTTTTTTTCAAACCTAATGTATTTCATTTTCCAACAGCTGAACGTATGCGGGAATTGAGTCCCAGGCGAAGATAACAACACACACTAAAAACGCAAAGGCTCATGGGTAGACGCTTATTTGTAAACAATGAGGTGACGACTTTCCCCATTTAAGTCGACTGAGCTTGGTTTTACAGTACAATTGCGGTTATATGTGCTGCTGTAGAATAAATCGTACCGTCCGTATGTAGATTGGTGTAACAATAAAACAAACCATTCGTGTGCAGTAGTCGCTAAATTGTATCTAATGTGAAAATAAGTTCAGTAATTTCGACATCGTCCGACAATTAGTATGTCACGTGATACACATGACTACCCTCTATATTTCAACATATAAACGCTAAATGAGGGTTTGAATGAGATATCCGAAAACATATCCCGCAACCTTAAGTCAGACTATTTTTTTTAAGATACACTTAATCGTTCATTTCTTTTTCTTCTAAAACCTAGTGGTTGTTTGTGTGATTTATTTAAAAATGCATAATTATTGCTTATGCCAAAGTGGTCACAAATACAAGATTTCTACACCATTACACTAATAATACTACTGTAAGAGAAGAGTATCCGGTCGTATTATAACGCCTATGTATCACGTGATTATTATCTCGCTAGGACGATAGCAAAGGTAGGTAATATGTTACATATAAGAAGGTATCCTTGTTTTATCGCGCACCGGAACAGATGGCAAGTTCACACTGACGTCACACCACGCCTAACAGAATAACGAAGAGACCGCTATTTTCCTCGAGTCGTTGGATACATAACAGGTAAGGAGCACGAGCAATTGGTGGTCCTATTGATTTCCATAAATATAAAATATCATATCAAACAGTATTCAAGAATTAGTTAACTACGGAAACTAAGGTATTCTGAAATTATTCGTTTTATTCTACAGTTCGACAATGAAGTGGATTTTAGTGTTAGCGGTGTTGACTTTGGTGCAATGGACCAACGCATCAGCGCCAGTCTACTTCGCAAGAGAAGATGTTGCTATTCCAAATAAGTACATGGTCTTTCTGGAGGTTAGTTATTCGCCTTAATGTATTTTTAAATATTCTGATGGGTAAATTAAAGTGTAATGTGCTACTAAACTTATGTATTTTCTTTCAGAAAGATGCAGATTTGCAAAGTATTAAAATGCGCATCAAATCATTCTCATTTATCGCAGAGTTTGGATGGGAGTATAAAGGAATGAATGGTTTTGTTGTTACAATCGACAATAAAGGTCTGAACTACGTAAGTTACGGCTTTAAGCGTTACAGTTGGTTGTTTCAACTTGTTTTCAACGAAACAAATCTAATTTCCATGTCTACCTTCTGTGTACTAAAATATATCACTTACTTTGTTATTGACTGGTTAAAATTAAATAATTGCACGGTTCTTCTCAGTCGGCTTAGGTCGACAGCGTCGACCATCAATCAGTGCTGTTTAAATTGCCACTGTGCTAGCATCGCTTAGATTTAACGCGTTTTTTTTTTCAAAATAAAATGACGAAGAACGGCCGACAACTATTCTTGTAAGTTAATTTCATTTAGATTGCCATATGTAAGCGATTCTAAATAACGCAAAGGCGTGACTTTCTTACTACTTTCTTTTACGTGGGTTTAATGGTCTTTGAAATTAAACAAGTTTGGAAAAACACTTTCTGAAAACAAAATATGATTGGCAGCCATTTTATTGTGTATGCGATTTCGAATAATAAATAGGAGTGACTAGCTTTCTACGTCGAAAAATTATACGTGGTTAGAAATTGAAAAACAAAAACAGTTAAATTTGGATTTCAATAAGATTGGCAGCAATTTTAATGTGTGGTATATGATGGCCATTTAACCATTAAATTATCAGGTGTAGCAATAACGAATATGCGATTATTAAGCGTCAAGTTTCCTAATTAAAATAAAACAAGCATCTTCTCGCCTAAGATAGCACCGCTGTTAGCAATGCACATGTCAATTAAAACAATTAAAGTTATCATCACTGAATGAACAAATATGAGAAAGGTCCACCTGTACGTATATCAAAGCAATCAGACTTGCTGTTTTTAACAAGAAGTTTTTACCAAAAATGACAAAAATATTTATCAAAATTGTATTTTCAAGAAGAAGTCAAAGAAGTAAAAATTTACGCGGATGCCGACGGACGACGATGGACAATGACTCATATGATAAGTTCCGCTCGACAAAGTCGACTGCGAAGCTAACAAAAATTAATGCCGTCCGAGGAGATTTGATTTTCATCGTGAATAATAAAATTTTACGGATTGTATGTAAATAGTAAAATGTTGTGGTCTAAACGAACGCTATAACAGTTTGCCGAAAGATAGAAAATAAAAAGTTTGAAGTAAATTTCTAAATTCAATTATATTATTCAATTGTATATGCGTACAGTCAATACATGACATTTGTAGTTTCATTGTTGTGTGTAAAATCAATTAAATGAATGATCACAAAATGCAGCTTATGTGGAAATAAATTTCACAGCGTAAATGTGTGTTTTTTTTTGTGTTTTTTAATCTTCCAAATAAACACGCAAATTATTATTTTGATATTATTTTTTGCTCATGACAATGCTTACATTGCATACATCGGCCATCATTTCCTGCTGATCTTTTTCAACAGATGCGTGATTTGGATGAAGTGCGATATATTGAACAAGATCAAATGGGCCATAAGGATGCTATTGCAAGTTGGGGATTGGACCGAACTGATCAGAGAACCTTGCCCTTGGACGATGTATTTGTCCCAGAAGGTATATTCTGAATTGGGGTGGAGGTGACAATTTTTGCATACAGTTGGTTTAAATAAGTATTTACTAAGAGATATAAACGATAGAAATGGTAATCTCGCTTCAAATGATCATTGTACAATACCGCGATTTGTACAGTACGGCTATTTTTAACTACAGGTGATGGGGCCGGTGCCAATGTGTTTGTCCTCGACACAGGGATTACGTACGCCCATACAGATTTTGAAGGACGGGCCAAACTGTTCAGGGATATGGTCAATCCAGGAAACCCATCAGAAGTAAGCTTTCTTATCATTTATAAATATGTTCATTACGACATTTCATTTGTTTAGTATACTAACTGTAATTATATTGTTACAGGCACTAATACGTGAGCCGTATAATTAGGTTTAGGTTATATGTTTTCATAATACATGTATATTGTGCGGTGTCAATAATTGACCGTACCAAGTGCAACTCAACACGGTTATAACATGGTAGTGCCTTTGATGAGGAACATCAAAACCCGAACAGTTAATTAAATGTGAGAAGAAACAATTTCCAATGTTTTCCCACATTTGTAAAAATCGTTTGAACATTTAGATTCGAAACGCTCGACTCACAGTTTTCATACATTGAGATATTACAATTGTGTGATAACATGGCTAACATGGATCGGGATTTTACTTAATTTGCCACATCCATGTCCGAGCCATGTTATTAAGATATCATTCTAAAGGCGACGCCCGTCATTACATGATTACATATTCTAGTGTTAGGAGTGTGACAGAAAAGTAACCCCACCCTTTCGGTTATTAATGTATTTGTGAATTACTTAATGTAAATCACTAATTGAAACAACTTGGATAATCGCACTGATCAATTTAGAACTGCGAAATCTGTCAATATATAACAGCAACTCGGTTTACGTAGAGACAACTCTGTCCTCTTGCAGTGTGTTAAGTATGTACACGTATTTTCAATTCATGTGTAAGGAGCAAACGACTGAGACGTATTCACATTGATTCTTAGATTTAGTGTCAGAATTGATTTTCTTCCTAACAACTTATGGTCAGCACTATATCTGTCGAAAATGTTTCTTTCATCGTAAGACAAATGTTTAATTCTGATTATTAAAAGTAACATCGCAGTACCATATAACATGCCTCAAACTGCATGAAACGAAAATGTAGGATACTACATGTGATAAAAACCTGTAATCGCGTTGCTAAGGGTCCTGGTAGAATAACCATTACAACTTACAAAACTTTCTGTGCTAGCATGTACGCAATTTTGGTCTTTGCACGTCAAAAATGCCTGGATATTTTGACGGCGACATATAATAATGTATTCTGCATACTAATGTGAGTTATACGCACATTATACACCAGACTGTTACTACTCATTGTTTTTTTTTAATTTTGTATTTTAAATCTAGCTTTCTGACTGGTTCACGGGATTATTGTATTTGATGATGTAATCCTGCAATAAAGATGTATTATATTTATCTTTCAATATTCAAGTTACTACAGAATTATTTGATTCCTCTCGGCTTAATGATTTATTTTGTAAAATAGACCGACTGTGACGGACACGGAACACATTGTGCTGGAACTGTTGGAGGTGCTACATACGGGGTAGCGAAGAAAGTGAATCTTTGGAACACGCGTGTGTTAAACTGCTTCGGTAGTGGACCAGCTAGCGATGTTGCAGCAGGTAAACGTCAGTTTTGAGCTTCACCAATGAAAGTAATCACCATAAAAACGTCGGTTATTTCCTCTATAATTATTACCACCGATGAAATATGTGAAACCTGACATGAACTTGTTGCATAACTGATTGTCACTGTAATTCATTCTTCAAGGCATGACAGAGGTAGCTGATTTCGGAGATCGGCCAGCAGCTATTTCCATGTCACTGAGTTATGTTGACTCTGTAACTATTGACGATGCAGCCACTTATTGCTTTGAAAACGGAGTGTCTGTCGTCACCTCGTCTGGCAATGATGATGCAGATGCTTGTTTTAAATCGCCACAGCGAAACAATAGAGTAAGTTATTCTTCTTCAGCAGATATTCTTGCATATGTACATGTTTCCCGGTGGTCTTAAACCACGGTGTGTGAATAGTATACTGAATGTCATTTTTTCCCACATTTCCAATGGCTGCAAGAACGCTATGACATGTCGTGAATAAAAGCAAAGAATGATTTCCTTAAAATTATTGAATAAGATATATGAACAAGATGATTTGAGTAGTTCTGAATTATATTTCATGTACTTGCTCCCCAACAGACAATAGCGGTGGGAGCAACAGATGACACAGATACCAGAGCATATTTCTCAAATTACGGGCCATGTCAAGATATCTATGCCCCAGGTGTTGATATTGTAAGCTGTGACAATAACGACCTTAATGGCTCCTCGGTGAAGAGTGGTACGTCAATGTCCTGCCCACATGTTGCCGGTAAGAAGTCATTTGTATATGCTGCCACGTTGTTTTTTGTCTCTTGACAGCGTACAAATTAATTTTATCCGCAATAATATAAAAACTATATGAAATAGCTGCAATGCAAAGTGCAAAGGGTCCCAGTGATGTAATTGGAAATTGATATCACCATGGAGAAATATTTAAATTCTTAAACATTACAAAGATTAATAGTAATATATCCTGTCATCAATAAAATATGAATAATTATATTAGAAACAAAGTTACAGTGCAAATATTGTCATGTTAACAACAATGTAGACGCCATTGTATCCTGGCAATATTTTTTTTCTTAACGTTCTGTATTCCAATGACATGTTTCCATATTAACCCATTGTTCATACTACTGTAGGCGTTGCGGCTATTAAATTGGGTATCAAACCGGAAATGAGTCCAGGTGAAGTCAAAACTACCATATTGGCTGATAGTACTCCTGGAGTGGTCAATGATGCCAAAGAGGAAGAAGACACGCCAAATAAACTCCTGTATTCAGCAGAGAATATATAAAAAATGGTACTTGAATTGAATACCATGTACATTTCATAGTAATATATAATAAACATGTCATAAAAAACATATGTGAAAGAGCCGTACAAGTGAGTCTGTCGAAAGGAGTGCTTGAGTGATTGATATGCTCGAATTTAGCAATATGTATGGGTATCATAACTCCGTGAAGAACGTTTGTGGTCGTCGTGGTTCCAATGAGGACAGGGAGGCCCCAGTAATAAAAATAGTGCAATATTGCATCCTGGCGTATATAATGTTAATCAATTAGGATTTGCTACTTTCATTCTGGTGTGTTCAGAATATATATAGTTGAAGTAACAATTTCTCAATATATCTTCAATCAGTATTTCACAGATTTAAGTATACGAACCAAAGATAACAGTTCCATTCACTCTTTAATTTTATTAGATGCCAGGCAATTTGCATAATGATGAACCAGCTTAATGCAATGGATTGTTTGAAAGATACACAGCAATACATTGGTTGATTACTTGATCACAGACACCAGCGTCAAAGCATCTGACATTTTATTCTCCCAAATTACTATAATTCTAAATATTTTCTTATTTTCAAAGCACACAAGTTCTCACGTGGAATACCCAATCGTACACAGTTTAGAGTAATGCTTCCTAGATTTTTTTCGAAGTGTTTTACAATTTCGAAATACCGATGATAATGTTGAAGACAAACAAACAAACAAAACCTGTACAGATATGCATAGCTACTTCAGTAAATATAGCACTATATAAATTGTGCTCCCCCCCCCAATTCATTTAAGCCGTAAGCATGTTCACATCACAACAGAATTCTGCACGCAATACATAAGATTCGCCATGGATTTAACTCCACGGATAGATGAGCGAAAGCTAGGTATATATAAATATATATATATATATATATATGTATATGATAAAAGCATGAGTTATCACTACGGTGTTCACTTCTCCTCGTTTTTAACAGCTATTCTACCAAGTAATGGTGGTATTATTTGCGGATTAGCATATGTCCTGGCGATTCTTAAATCTGCTCAAATTTAGCAATATGTGTTGGTAATTTACCCATTGCTGGTACATAAACGCACGTGTGATTCTCATATCTGGGCGTTATAGATGTCATTGTCAACATGTTTACAATCAGCAGGTCACAACAAGGTGAAGGTTATGTGACCGGTATTTGACGTGTGTTTATTTGTGTACATCTCACCACTGCCATATAACATTACGTTGTACTATTTAAAATGTCGTGTTTTTTCTCAGGTCAGTGGTGACCGGGCTACCAGTAAAATAACCACCACTTCCTAATTTGGACGTTCTCGGGAAGTTCCACCTTGATATTATATTGTTTATTCTACGTACGTATCCTGCGCTAACTCTTTTCCGGTATAGTTGATTGAAAACAACTAGAATTAGAAAATATACTTTTAATTAAATTCTTGGTTTGTTTCTTTCGCATGCCGGGTTAAGTCAATATATCACATATCTTTATAATATAGAGCATCACAAAACGATATATCTTAATATGATGATAGAATACAAACCCCTATCTTCATGAACACCTGTTACTATCTCATCAGTATTGCAGTTTGACATTTGACCCCAGAGCTTGACAATAACTAAATAACTCAATTCTGGTTTCTACACTGATTATTGAACCGGAAGGGAGGATTAAAAGTCCTGACTAATCACCGTATTTTGATTATTTCGCAACGTTGTCTAGATATTATTATAGGTCCATCGGTGTTTTGCCATTTTGCGTCTTCTTGTGTACACTTCTAATTTGAAAATGACCGTATTCAGTCGTCTGTGAGCGAGTTGCATATCAGTTCATTAGTTATGCGTTGATCAATTTGGTCTACATTACGCATGCGCGATTGAGTTCGCATTGCTCGGTTTTTTGAACAGTTCCTAAAGTCAGCGTCAAGTGTAACAGTGCATTTGAGCGTTACCGAGAGAGCATGGATAGACCAATCACATCAGGGAATCTACATGTGACGTGTCGAAGTCCGTAATGGTGTCCAAATGTGAACTTTGAACAAATGCCCAGCTTCTCGTTTCGATGACATTGAAAAAAACATTAGTGATTGACATCTAAATAAATTTGATACCTGAGAATTACTGACTATTCCAAAAAGAAAACATAACATGTGAAATTGTGGCACAATTATAAGTTGAAATGTATGTACGAATTAATGCTAGTGGTAGTTGTTAGGTATACTAGTATATTGAACGGACTGGCTATCTACAGGTACTTAACATACGTTACGTACTTTTGTCAACTTATGTTCAATGTGTGTATAAGATATTAACAGGAATCGGTTTATTCTATCACTTCTAAGGAGAGGCGCTATTGCGACAACACTTACACACATTATTGGTTTGTGGTACGCGCACCAATGTGCTGGGAAAATGTCTTTCCCCAACAGAAGCCTTACAATAGGTTCCTATCATGTACGCCACCTAAGTTTGTATATTTAAATGCAAATCGCAGCCTAGTAGGAGGATGGGTATAATGTATATACGAGTTGGGGGCAATCGTTCAGACATTCAACAGTTACTACGAGGGCACATATGTCAGAAATATTTTGGAAAAAAACTTGACTTTATCAAAAATAATCCAAATGCAGCAAACTTTGGTTATCACCATGTAATACCATCTATCGATATGAGATGATACCAATGCTTCCCTTGAAAGAACGGTGAATTGTATCTCCGTTATTATAACTACAAGTGTGTAATTAGGAAAACATCGGGATGTTTTGAACACGCCTTGCTTTGTTTTCAGCTCCTTGCAAAACACAAGATGTTGATGCAATAGTCAAAATTGAACCCTGGTTTGCAATCCTATGCATATGATGCTGGGGAACACACCGCTTCTGTAAATTGAGAACCCTATAGAGTGGGGCATACTTTTTTTGAATAAATAAGGACAGAAGAGCGTTTAAAAATCGTTCAAATAATGATTTCGAAAACTGGTATTGTATCCTTACGAGTAACTCATTACTTGAAACAACCTTTGCCAGAGGAGATAGAAGATGAGTTTCCATGGCTCGTTCACTTCGCGCATCTCCACGCAACAAATTACTTCAGTCCAGTAACTGTGTTTCATGATTTCAACCTCGATTATAAGTGTGCGTATGCGTAGGTCGCTTCGAATAGATAATCTATCTGAAGTTGCCAAATGAAAACGCACTATTTTATTTTATTTGATTTTATATGATGCAATTCAATGAAAACACAATGATTTGAAAAGTACGGATTAACATAATACAGTCACAGTGATTAGCGTAGATCACTCACCACTATAATATGATTCAGTTGCACTCTGATTACACTCGTATAACTTTAATGTGGTTTAGGATCCATTATGTGACATAACTGTCCGAATTACCGCGAATAGTTGAAGATAAGCAATGAACGTTTGAATTTGAATGAAGACCTATGATCTGTTCACGAACTAAAGTTTTCTGCTTTGTGACATTCACTGTAGTCAAAAGATGCCAAAGTGGCTTCATGGTTCAGCTTTTAGTAATTCTTAAGGTAAACGCTCACTCTGTTCTAATGTATTCTTACATTCAGTACGTATAGTCTTAATGTGGTGTACTCATATGTTTGTTTTGTGTGATATTAAAACAATAGAGGTTTTATTGCAAAAATATCAAATAGTATATTATTTTTACACCGAAAATCACAATAACAAAACAACTATATGTAACAGTTATGAAACCAGATACATTTATTTGTTCCCTGAAATAGGACCGAGTATTTGAAAAGACCGTTATGCTTGTACGTGATATGAACGAGCTTGCACAAATAATGAAACGAGACATGACATGCAATGGACATTATCACATCCAATTTATTACCCATCCAATCATAATCGTTGATACACTCATTATGAAATTTATATATCGAACTATAATCATAAACACATGTTAATCATGGGTTCAGCACGGTATTTGTATTACCCTTATTACGCCACACAAATCAATATTATTTGCACATTCGATGCTTTAAAAAAGAAACGAAAATAAGGTTGTTAACTGAAATACGTTTTGTTGAATTTAACTGCCGGTTTGGCCTTGCCTTCCCTGAATCGTATTCTTTGCAGTAAACTTTATATTACACTCGATTAGATAATACTATCGAAAATCCGTTTGTATACCTGAACAAATATGTGAAAATACTCGGTTTATAATATCAGCGAAAACCAAGTAAAGTGGTTCACCTTGCTAAGGAAATTATATGGGTTCCTCTTAGTTTTGCGGTGTCATGTTTCAACACACACACAAAAAAAACAAATGACAAATAAACTAACCCAGAAGCCAAGAGAAAACAATTAACTAACAAAAACAGCGACCGGGGGAGTTAAAGACGTGCGAACAGATTGATAGACGCCGAATCTAGTTCATCAATAATACCAACAGTTCCACGGTTCAAGATGGCATTCTTCACTTCAACGTTTGTGTAGCTCGGATTGTTTGCCCATATCACTGCAGCAATGCCTGTGTAAATGAACACACATGCAAGTCTAATTCAATGTTGTTGATCATCTTAAAGGTAATGTTCAACACGTTAATACCCTGCACAAACAAACAAGTCATTCACACTACACTACTGGTCAGCGCCTCTCCCAACAAATAGCTCCATCTACGCACTTTCCACTAAACAACACAACATTCGACATATGTACAAGCAAGGTGGTATGTTCGTGGATATGAAACAGTACTGGGTATTACATAAAACAGCTTAGTTAACAGCAGTTATCCACAACACAGAGCAAAATGCCAATAGCTTTGTCTCGCTAAAAAGTTCCAGGTTACGCAAAGTAGACATGTTTAAAGCTAGTAAGATGCAAAACTGGCAAACTGCAAAGCCAATACTAATCTGCTAACTCATACAATTAATCAATACATTTCTTGCTTATAGTGCTACCGAACAAACATAAAAAAAATAAAAAAAGAGGACTCACCGGCTACCATAGGTGCCGCCATCGATGTTCCAGATCGAACGGTCAGAGACTGTGGATTTCTATTGTCAAGATTCTCAATCTGAACACCAGGAGCAAAAATATTGACGCACTCCCCATAATTAGAATAATACCACACAGAGCCATTTTCGCAGGTTGCACCAACGGTTAATACCTGTTCAATAATAATGACAATAATGTACAATGAAAACGATCAGGAAACCCGAGTGCAATGTATGTGCGTGGGGTTAGAAATCATGTGTACAATTAGTTGTCGCTGTTTCTCCTCAGCATCGCATCATTAAAGCAGACCTCAATTAAAAAAATCAGACATACCTGCAATTAAAAAAAACGACAAAACAAAAAGTTCCACGTGAATGTATAATCACCTGTTATATACGAACCTGCATCTCTACCTTATTCAAATTTCCGTGATTGTGTTCTAGATAGGTGGGCCGATACATATAGGGAGTAATCTGGACTCCCTATGTTGCACAGTGATGTGGTTGAATATACCTGGGACTGGGACTTGGTTATGCCCTCTCGTATTATAGGCTGATTAAACATCAACATACACGTACATACACACCCATAGACGTCTTATCGTCGTTATAACGACACACATTGAATTAACATTTAATATAGTTCCGATCATATTAACTCGATTAAAACGCGTTCCTATATAGGGTTGCGTTTTAATCGGAGTTTAACTAAACTCGATTACAATCCAATAAAACGTAGAATTAAATAAAAGTTGAATATCTCGTGACTGAACATAGAAATGTTTGCGAAGCTTATGTTTAGTGAAATTATGGTACAAGTATATTAATATAAACTGAACCATGCCTTCACTATTTTAATACCAAGCCTAAATTTCGCAAACTTGACTTAAATACGATTCAATAATAATATAAATTATGAAAATAGTCAGGGTTCTGTCGTCACGAGTCGGTGAGAAGTTGAATTGAAGCCGTCACAACGTTGTTACCACACACGCACACATACACACTTCATGTTAAAATGAACGTAACTACTTACATCAAGACTACTTGCAGGTAAAACTGTACACGCATCATTATGTCCATTGCCAGCAGAGGCTACTAGTAAGAAGCCAGCAGCGTTCGCTGCTTCCAGGGCATCGGCTGCTGCCTGTGAATACCCTCCAGAAAGCGACAAATTGATGATGGAGGAGCTCACCCCATTGCTAACAATCTCACTTAAACCTGTTAAAAAAACATGTAATTGCATTTCAGTTGACGAAAAGTATAATGTTTCTTTATACACTCATTTTCAGTTCTGTGCGATGCTCAAATCAACTCGTTGGTTGTTAGGATGCGTTTAAACCTAAGACTGTGTTGTTTTCAACCTTTGTCAGTGCCACGAAAGACAGTGACAGTGGCGTTTGAAATTTGAGGTGAGAGTATCAGGTCTGCTCAGAACTACCCTACTACAGAAGGATGTATGTATGTAAACATGCACAAGACGTCAGTATATTGTGACAGTTGATCAGACTGGGTATTAAGCTAACTGATGGCTGTTCGACCGCCCCTCTCACAATGAGCGAATGTGTTCGAATTTCATAGCAGAGTGAAGTAAGATATTTGATCAAATTACGACCATTCGATGAAATCACGCGAGAACTACCTGTTATCACCCTTCCCCATGTACCGGCGCCTTGACAGTCAAATATCCGCACGGAGCTCAACTGTACTTTTGTCGCTACCCCATGGCTGTTACTACCAACGATCCCAGCTACGTGAGTTCCATGACCAAAACAATCGGTAACTCTCTAATGCAGGAAAGAAAGCGACAATTACGTTATATACAATTAATTAGTATTTGCAAACTGGGCTGTTGTTTAGCGAGCCGAACAAACAAGAGTAGTGTTATCACATTTCTATCCAACGAAGTTTACTCCACTGTGGGGTTAATATTAACAGCAGCCACTGTGTATACTTTCTATCTAGGCGGGAAATGCACGGTGTCATGCAATTTCAACGAGTTCCAGAAGGAGTTCTTAAAGCGATATTACCAAATTTCCATCGACGCAGTCAATGAGTTCTGTTGGATCTATATTCCACTGTTTATGCTTCTCGTATATCCCACTGTCAATAATGTAAACAGTTTTACCAGAGCCATCTCCTAGAAAACAATTAAATCTCACGTCATAATACTATTGAAAATGGAGGCCTCTAATTGGTGCTTATTGTTGAATTTATATTGAGATGTGTTGCGATGTTGATCTGACGTGATGTGTTGCGATGGGATGTGATGTGATATGATGTGATGTGATGTGATGTAACGTGACGTGATGTGACGCGATGTGATGTGATGCGATGTTGATGTGGTGCGATGTTGATGCGATGCGATGTGATGTGATGTTG